CCCTCTCCCCTCTCAGCGAGGGCGGCTCGGACGCGGAACCAGAGGTCAGAGTTGGGGCCTTTACAGTGCTCATGCCTTCTGGAGTGCCACCCTCGATGGAGGGCCGCGTTGTCCGTGACAAAACGCAACGGGCCTGGAAATCGGCGAAGCGCAAGCTCAAAAGCGCGGATCTCGGCTATGGGCACCGTTTGGCGGCGACCCCCAAGGGTCGAGGCAAAGCCGCGGGCCCGAGTCCAGCCTCCAGAGGCTGGCGCCAGCGTAATCGCAGCCGCGCCCACCCTTCGGCGACGAGGGTTGCTGCTAAATTGCCCTCCCGAGCCGTCGCCGAAAACGAGCAGCATGCCATCCTCTCTGCAGTCGAGGAGGTCCGAGTGCTCTCCGTCCACCCCCCACTCCACGTCCTCCCCCCCGTCACGAAAGTCTGGACACGTGAATGAGCGAGGCGGGAGCCCGCGCAGCCAGAGACTCGGGTTGGCCTCGTGGCCTGCGCGGGCCTGAGCAACTAAAAACTCTGACGTTTCATAAGCGGGGTCATCCTTGTTGCAGGGGCACTCCCAAATACGGTAGAAAAGGGTTTCCTCTGGGGCCCCGCAACGCGGACATTTCAAGGAAACAAGATAGCCTCGATCTCGCTGCCTCTGATGAGGCCACTGGCCTCCAGAGGTGTCTGTGACCATCTGACCGATCTGATCGAATTCATCACGTTTCAGGAAACGCTGGAGCTGTGAGCGAATGGCAGTCACGTCGGCACCTGAGACGAGATCCTCCCCGTGCTCGTGTTTAGCCGCCTGCTGCCACAGCTGAGCTTTGAGGTCCTCAGCAAAATCGCTAACTAATTCAGCAATGTCGAAATCTCCAGCGACTCGATCGGCCGCGATGTCAGGAAACTGCCAGATTTCAAACGTATCGGCCCCGATGGGCCTGCGCCACTCGGTGGGAGAGATGGGCCTCCAACCTCCATCTCTCAGGGTGGCGATGATGGCCCCAATAGGCCCTCGGACTTTCCGCCACCTAAACTTGGGGTCGTGCCCGAGGCGCGCGGCCACCAATGGCCAAGCTTTCACGATTCGAGGGTGGAGGGAGGGGCACTTGTCCCAGAGGTCGAGCCAGGAGCGGACCAGCTGGGTCCGTAAACTGATTCCAGGGTCCCTGTCCCCAAACCAAATCGCCAGAGTGGTGGCGAGGCAGCGCCCTGGGCCCTTGCCCGCGACAGCTTGGGCCGCCTGTTTCCGCAACTGGAGGATGGAGGAGGGGGAGAGCCCCATTGCCCGGTGCCCATACACCGACTGAGGCAACGCCCCTTGCAGCCACAGACCTTGGGATTCCTTGGCAAGAGAAGCGTGCCTGCGAAGTTTATTAATGCGAGCACCTCTGGAGCGGCCCTTGCTCAGTCGCTGGTTGAGCTTCACGCGCGACCGACGCGACCCCCCCGCAACGTCACACCCCAAATCCACCGCAGCTTTAACGAGCGAGGCCGGCATCCCCAGACGGTTGATTTTGTTCAAAAGCTCGGGGCCCAACCTGGGAGTGTTGACCACAAGCTTGGTCTTGGAAGATATCGGGGGCTCCTGATCCGCAAACGACCGCACTAACGAGTCAGCGAGCCCCAACATCTGGCCAGAAACGTCGGCCCATCTCCCTTCGGACCGAGCAACAGTATCATCTACGAACGTCCAGATGGCCGAAGAGGCCTTGGCCTGACTCACGGCCAGCACCCCGTGGGCCTCCTCCATGATAGGTCCCAGGAAAAGTTTGGCTAGCGAAACTCCCTTGGAGGACCCCGCGACCAGGGACCGAGCCGGGAACACAAATTCGCTGGCCATGGCACGAGATTTCAAAACCCGCGGAGCCAAAAACATCTGGACTTCCAACAGAGCTACAACGGCAGGATAAGACTGAGCTAAAGCGATCTCCATCAGCTTCAGCAGAGAGATGTTGACATAAAATTTCTCTAAATCGAGCAGTAGCACAGCCACAGAGAAACCCAGCTCATGGGCGGCCTCGTCCATGACGGACCGCTGCAGGGCGGCTCTCAAGGCCGACGAGTGCCGCACCGCGGTGTCCCAGAAGTCGCTCCTGCTATCGGCCCAGCTGTCGGTGGCAGACGAGCGCGCACGTGACCACAGTCCCACGATCTTCGGAAGGACGCCGATGATGCGCTCGCCGCCAGCAGGCTTCGGCAGAGTGGCGCACATCGTCAGCAGCAACTGCAACGGCCATGAGCCAACCTCCTGCGCAGCGTTGAGGATGGCGACCACCTCGAGCATGGCGGCCAGCGGCAGCCTCTGCAGATCTGTCGGCCCGAAGACGTCAACGCCCTTGGACTTGGAGCTCGGTAACTCGTTCCACAGCGGCTCCAAGTCATCAATCGTGAGCGGCGGCAGAGCCTCGATCGTGCTCTGCGTGATGAGTAGCTCCTTCGTGTCCAGAATTGCGTCGTGGGACGCGTTGTTGTCGGTCCAGATGGGGGCCCACCTCCCCACCTTCTGAGCCATGATCAATTGCGGATCTGAAGTAGCTCCCTGCGGCAACGCACACTCCACCTCCAGGATCTCCAAGGGGCCTGGGTCCTTCACGTGCTGGTGAAGGAAGCGCGGCTTGTGGGCCCACATGTCCTTGGCCCACCTGACATACGCTTGGGGCGCCGCGGTCAAAGTGCGCGCAAAGGCGCGGCCGACCCACCTCTCAGTGACTTCCACTATCTCGTCTAAGGTGTCAACGTCGGACTCGCCGTTCGGCAACAGAATCAAGTTGATCCAGTGGTCCACCTCGTCGGTGGTAGCCTTGGTGCCGAAATGACCGCACGCGGCTGTTCCAGGGCCTGAGACAGCATGGAATTGAGAGCTAACGCACAGCGGTGCTGCTGATCACGATCGGAGCCGTTGCGAACCAATGAACGGTATCGCACTATGATGGATTCGATTGTCCACCACCACTCCATAGTAGGCGAACGCATGTGAGTACGGCCAGGCGACGCCTTAAGGCGTGTCCACTTCAAACCGTACATCTGGCCGCGCCCTCGGTACCTGCTCCACTCGTATTTGGGAACCTGTTCGGTGGTCAGGATCGCCTGCTCGACGGTGGACACCCAATGGCTGTGCCGCGCCGATAGAGCCGCGACCGCGTCCTTGTTGCGGGGGACTGCCCAGGCGACACTGTGGTCCAACAGACTGCTGGGCACCGTATCCTCAGGCTCCTGCCAGCACAGGTCCCAGGTCTCGGAGGGGACGTAGAATGGGACCGAAACAGCCGCACTTCCAGGAGTGTCAGGCGGAGGGTGCAATTCATCAAAACTTTCGTGCAACTCGTCAGGTAGCCGCTGCCGACGGTCGATCCTCCTTTCCTCCAGCTGCTTTTGGCGTTTGCTGTTGGGGTCGGCCTGGCGCCTCGGGCGGTCGCGTGGAGGTAAATCATGCGGCAGAGTAACCACTTGATGCCACCAATCTTTGTGCGCATCAGAGATCTGTATGTCCAGCCCGATGTGTGTGCGCCAAGGCACTTCTGAGAAACCCTGGACCTGCACCTGCTCGTGGAACCCGCGCTTGACCACCAAGTAGTCGATGAGGGAGGCGCTGTCTCCCTTGGTGCAGGTGGACTCAACGCCGCTGGGAGTTACAATCTCCCCGTCCCATAGGCCAAGAATGCCTGACTGCTTCAGAACCTGGGGGCAGATGTTCCAGTCGGCCATGACCATCCAGGGGTCGGCGAGGGTGGCCAGGAAGGCCGTGAGTGCCTTCACCCTTGGGCTACTGTCGCCACCCAACTTGTGCCCTGGAAACAGGCACGCTGAGATAATGACCACGTTGCCGTTCCGCAGGTGCAGTGTGAGCGGACAGAAACCACGAAAGGGCCGTCCAGCTTTACGAAGGGCTTCCCAACTTGTGGTGGCTAGGTGTCGTTTGGCTAACACCCACTCGCCCCCTCTGGTGCCCGATTCGGACTTGACTGAGGCCTCGGCAGGCGTGGCCGCGAGCTTCCACCCATCCTTGAGGCAGTTGAGCTGAGATGAGGGCCGACGACCACAGGACCTTTCCTGGGGTGCGCCCCGGCTAGAGTGCCGAGGCGGGTCCGGCCCAGGCCACGAGGGAGTTCCCCGAGGGGCCACGAGTAGGAGAAGCAACAAAAACTAGCGGTCATCGAGCCTCAACCCTCCGAGTCAGCATCGCCTAACCGATGTCCCATGTCCACCCCCGCTGGGCCGTGGTATATGACGATGACGACGAAAACCACGACGACGTCGACTTTGACGACGACGACGACGACGACGACGACGACAATGACAATGATGACGATGACAATAACGACGACGACGATGACGACGACGGTGACAATGACCACGACAATGACGATGACGACGACGACGATGACGACGATGCCCCACCAGTCCACCCACCATGTTGTGACATGCCCCGCGAACCCCGGAGGGAACAGCACCCATTCCCACCCAGGTGGGTAAGACGGCCTCTGGGGCCACGGGCATGCCAGCGGGGAAGGAGGATCCAGTCAGCCGATCCAAGACGCTACAATCTTGAGACTGAAAACCGCTCAGTGTCAAGAAAGTCACACGACCCTCAAGCCAAGGCAGTCCAGCCAAACGGTCCAAGACGCTACAATCTTATGTAGGATGAAAGACCGCTCAATGTCAAACAAGTCATATGCACGATCTCCAAGCGAAGGCGGCGACCGCGACGACGACGACGACGACGACGACGACCACGACGACCACGACGACGACGACGACGACGACGACGACGACGACGACGACGACGACGACGACGACGGCGACGACGACGACGACGACGACGGCGACGGCGACGGCGACGGCGACGGCGACGGCGACGGCGACGGCGACGGCGACGGCGACGACGGCGACGGCGACGGCGACGGCGACGACGACGGCGACGACGACGACGACGACGACGGCGACGGCGACGGCGACGGCGACGGCGACGGCGACGGCGACGACGACGACGACGACGGCGACCGCCATGCCACGACAGGTGCCGTCCTGCCCCTCGACGGCCGCCGCCCCAGAGCGGGCCCGGGGGGTCGGGGCAGGGCTCGACGGGGCCACCGGGAGGGGGAGGAGGAGGGGAACGAGGAGGACTACGAGGAGCAGAAGAAGGAGGAGGAGGAGGGGGAGGGCGAGGACGAGGACGAGGAGGAGGAGGAGGACGACGACGAGACAGGAGGACGAGAGGAAAAGAGAAGGAGAGGAGGAGGAGGAGGAGGAGGAGGAACTTGGAAGAGAAGCAGCGAGGAGCGAGATGTTTGGCTCCATTTGAATGTCGAGTGGGTCCGTGGTCTACCCCAGCTGCTGCTGGAGAGATCGAGGAGCAGGATGAGGAGGAGGAGGAGGACAAGGAGGAGGTAGAGAAGGAAGGCAACCACGAGAAGGACCGTTGCTTTCAACGTCTCCGGCTCTTCCTGGAGGACTTCTGGAGGGGGAGGCTTCTGGAGGCGCCAAGCGACCTCTGCAGGGACCTGCAGAGATCCCAGGAGGCCTCCAGAGACCAGAAGTGGGGTTCTGAGCTCTTGCAACTTCAGGATGTCGGGCCGGACCCAGACAGCCGACGGCGTGGTTATTCTCATAACCAGATGGCGTTTTTCCCCATATCCTAAGATGGGGTTCTTGTTATTACTTGGACGCCTCCTACTCCCTCTCCTCCTTCCTCCTCCTCTTTCCTCCTCCCCTCCTGTCGGACTTACTCCTACTCAGACTTGCTCATACTCAGACTTACTCATACACAGACTTACTCATACTCAGACTTACTCATACTCAGACCTACTCACAGACATACTCATACTCAGGCATATTCATACTCAGACCTACTCATACTCAGACTTACTCATACTCAGACTTACTCATACTCAGACATTCTCATACCCAGACGTACTCAGACTCAGACTTACTCACACTCAGACATATCCATACTCAGACTTACTCATACTCAGACTTACTCATACCCAGGCGTACTCATACTCAGACTTACTCATAGTCTGAGACTTACTCAACACACAGCAGATTGTGAGGATGTCTCAGGCGGGGCGCTGGTTTCAGCACCCCTAAGGGGAGCCGCCAGGGGTGGTTGCACGGGCTCGTTCGCGGCCATTTTGTGGGGATGTCTCAGGCGGTTTGCTTGTTTCTGGGCCCAACATCCTTCGCTTGGAGAGCAGATTGTGAGGATGTCTCAGGCGGGGCGCTGGTTTCAGCACCCCTAAGGGGAGCCGCCAGGGGTGGTTGCACGGGCTCGTTCGCGGCCATTTTGTGGGGATGTCTCAGGCGGTTTGCTGTTTCTGGGCCCAACATCCTTCGCTTTCGGAGCAGATTTGGAGGATGTCTCGAGCGAGGCGCTCATTTCAGCACCCCTAAGGGGAGCCGCCAGGGGTGGTTGCACGGGCTCGTTCGCGGCCATTTTGTGGGGATGTCTCAGGCGGTTTGCCTGTTTCTGGCCCAACATCCTTCGCTTTCGGAGCAGATTTGGAGGATGTCTCGAGCGAGGCGCTCATTTCAGCACCCCTAAGGGGAGCCGCCAGGGGTGGTTGCACGGGCTCGTTCGCGGCCATTTTGTGGGGATGTCTCAGGCGGTTTGCTTGTTTCTGGGCCCAACATCCTTCGCTTGGAGAGCAGATTGTGAGGATGTCTCAGGCGGGGCGCTGGTTTCAGCACCCCTAAGGGGAGCCGCCAGGGGTGGTTGCACGGGCTCGTTCGCGCCATTTTGTGGGATGTCTCAGGCGGTTTGCTTGTTTCTGGGCCCAACATCCTTCGCTTGGAGAGCAGATTGTGAGGATGTCTCAGGCGGGGCGCTGGTTTCAGCACCCCTAAGGGGAGCCGCCAGGGGTGGTTGCACGGGCTCGTTCGCGGCCATTTTGTGGGGATGTCTCAGGCGGTTTGCTTGTTTCTGGGCCCAACATCCTTCGCTTGGAGAGCAGATTGTGAGGATGTCTCAGGCGGGGCGCTGGTTTCAGCACCCCTAAGGGGAGCCGCCAGGGGTGGTTGCACGGGCTCGTTCGCGGCCATTTTGTGGGGATGTCTCCGGCGGTTTGCCTGTTTCCGGGCTCCAACATCCTTCGCTTGGAGAGCAGATTGTGAGGATGTCTCAGGCGGGGCGCTGGTTTCAGCACCCCTAAGGGGAGCCGCCAGGGGTGGTTGCACGGGCTCGTTCGCGGCCATTTTGTGGGGATGTCTCAGGCGGTTTGCTTGTTTCTCGTGGCACTATCCTCCAACATGACATGCACTTATGGCATTGTGTGGCTAAACGCTCGTCTTACATATCCCACTGCCAACTATCCTACAACATATGCACATGTGGGAAGCTCCAAAGCTACCACGGGCTGAAAAGGGGAAGGCCGGGCAGCTGAGGAGGGGGGATGAAGAGGAAGAGGCTCGCATTCAACCATACTCAAAGCTCACTCTGACTCATACGCAATCACTCGCATTAGGGGTCACTCGTCTTCGTCGGCCCTGTCGCCCACGTGGACGCGCTATTGTAGTCGACCGCTCGTGAACAGACGCTCGCCACGGCATGACATAAAACATGAAATGCACATATGGGGAGCTCCACGCAGTGAGTAATTTCCCCGGGGCGTTTTTGGGCCCCGCGGCCATCATGACAGAGACCAGGGCGAACAAGAGTTGCCCCCAGGAGAAAAAGAAAGGAAAGGAGGCGGAGCAGAAGAAGAAGCAGGGCGAATGAGCAGGAGGAGGAGGAGGAGGAGGAGGAGGAGAAGGGGGGAGGAGGAGGAGGAGGAGAGGGAGAAGGAGGAGGAGGAGGAGGAGGAGGAGGAGGGGGGAGGAGGGGGTGGAGGAGGAGGAGGAGGAGGACCAGAGCGATTGGAAAGCAGGGAACGGGGGGAGACAAACATCCAGAGGGGCCTCCAGGAAAACAGTGCGACGGCCTCGCCGTGCTCGGCCTCCGGGAGGATTCGTTTTTCGAACTCCGGGGCCGAAGCAAAAAAAAAAATGCAGGACGATAAGCGAGGTCTGGGGGGGAGCGGCGGGGGAGGGAGAGAGGGAGGGAGGGGGGGGGAGAGAGGGAGGGGAGAGAGGGAGGGGAGACAGGGAGGGAGGGAGCGGAGGGGAGAGAGGGAGGGAGGGGGGGGGAGGGGGGAAGGGGGGATCGAGGAGATGCGGAGAGGAGGCTGGACGAGCAGCAGCAGCAGCAGCAGCAGCAGCAGCAGCAGCAGCAGCAGGAGCAGGAGCAGAAGGAGCCGGTGGGGGGCGGAGGAGTGATGGCGAGGAGATCGATCGCCCTCCAGTCGGTGGGGCCCAGGCTCGCCCCGCCGACCTGTCGACAACGGCGGCGGCGGCGGCGTCGACGACGGTGGCGACGACGACGATGGCAGCGACGGCGACGACGACGACGACGGCAGCGACCGCGACGGCGACGACAACGACGGTGGCGGCGACGGCGACGACGATGGCGGCGGCGACAGTGGCGACTCCAGACCTCCGAGGTGCTGATCTGTCTCTGCACGGGGCCCCTGGAGCTCTGGACCCTTACCCAGGACCAGCGCTTCGTCCCGATTCGCTGCCTGACGGCCTCAGGGCCCTGCAAGGGCCCGCAGGCGCCGCGAGAGCGACGACGAACCTCCGCCCTGGTCTTGCCAGCGCGTCGGAGGTCTGGGACGGCGGAGGCGACGCTGGCAGCGGTCGACGACGACGACGACGACGACGACGACGACGACGACGACGACGACGACGACGACGACGACGACGGCGGCGGCAGCGGCGACGGCGACGGCGACGGCGACGGCGACGGCGACGGCGACGGCGACGGCGACGGCGTCGATGGCGGCGGCGACCGGCTGCGGCGGCGCGCTGCTGAGGCCAGGACCCTGCCGGGAGGCCCTGGGCCCGCCCTGGGGGGCCCAGGGCCCGGCCTGCCCGGGCCGTCGGCTGGGCCAGCCCTGCCTGGCGCAGGACGCCTGCCACGGGGGATCAAGGGTCGGGGAAGAAGAAGGGATCGAGGATCGAGGGGGAGGAGCAGGAGAAGGAGCAGAGTGGACCCAGGATCCGTCAGCGGTGATACAATACACCCTCCCACCCAGGTGCTACTCCTTGGAAGACCAGCGCCCCTGTGGGCTTGCCATTCCGGCGAAGGCCCTGGTTTGAATGGGAGCTGTCCTGCATCAGTTTAGCTGTCCATGTTTTTGGAATGCGAGGAGATATAGGATCATCAAGGCGAAGGAAGTGCCCAGCGAGAGCCCCGGCTGAAGAGGAAACGGCCCTCATGAGTTGGACACTCATGGCCATGATTTCCAATGAAGTGTCAAGCGAGAGACCGATGTTTTACATGCCCCATCCTCCATCCTTAGAGAAGCTGCGCGGTGTGCTGAGGCGGGCGTCGAATTTGGAAGACGTCTCGCCATCCATCCACATGTTGACAACTTGTAAGGCGAGTGCGCCAGGCGCTGAGGCGAGAGCCACAGTATAAGAATGGCCTACGCTCCATCATGTATAGTTGCTGGTGGCCGTAGATTCTGTGCTAAGCTGTGATAAGGCGAGAGGCACATAATGAACGAGGCACGCCCTCCAGATCTGCCTGGAGGAGTTGTCAGACGAAGCTCTCAGCCCGCCCTATCAGCATCTCTGGCGGTGCGACGAGGAGCACCTTTTTATCAAGAATCGGGTTGGGGGCGGGGCTCAGGGTAAGGCTCGGGCCAGAAATCGAGAGGAGGAGAAGGAGGAGGAGCAGGAAGGGGAGGGAAGGAAGAGGAGGACGAGAAGGGGGAGGAACAGAGCTAGAGGAGGAGGAGGAGGAGGAGGAGGAGGAGGATGAAGCGAAGGAGAAGGAGAAGCAGGAGGAGGAGGGTGAGTAGGAGGTGGAGTAGGAGGAGCAGGAGGAGGGGAAGAGGGAGGAGAAGGACAGGGAGGCGGGGAGGAGAGGGAGGAAAAGGAGGATAGGGGGCTAGGAGATCCAAGTGGAGGGGAAGGAGGGGGGCGGGGTGAGGAGAGGGGGTAAGGGGTTGACGATGATGACTGTGGTGATGATGATGATGATGATGATGATGATGATGATGATGATGATGATGATGATGATGATGATGATGATGATGATGCTGACGATGATGACGATGATGATATGATGACGACGAGGAGGAGGAGGTGGAGGAGGAGGACGGTGGTGAGGATGGTGATAATGATGAGGATGAGCATGATGTTGATGCTGAGGTTAATGCTGGTCCGTCTGTCGCTGCGGATGATGGTGATCATGATGATGACGATGATGATGGTGATGATGGTGGTTGAGGTGGTGGTGGTGGTGGTGGCGGTAATGATGATGATGGTGATGATGATGGTGATGACGCGATGGTGGTGATGATGATGGTGGTGGTTTTGATGATGGTGATGATGATGGTGGTGATGGTGTTCATGGTGATGGCGATGGGTGATGGTGATGACGGCGGTGATGGTGATCATAATAAAGGATATGCATGATGATATTGATCCCAATAGCCTACTAGCGGGCTTGCTGCTCACGATGTTCATAATGATGGTGGTGATGAAGAGGATAGATATGCTGAGGGTGGTGATGACGATGGTGGCGACGATGACAATGATGATGGTGATGACGGTGCTGATTTGTAGACGACCACATGAGGGCCCTGCGCATGAAGCATAGCGCGAAGGCTATACGATTCAAATTTGTCGTGGCATGCCGGTGGAAACCGTGGCTCGCGGAAGCTGCACGTCGCGAGGCGCAGCGTACTCGCGCGGGCCGCACGGGGCTCGAGCGGCGAGCAGAGCGAGTGTGCCAGGGCAGGTGGACGAGTAGCGCGCGAGCCGTGGCCTGGCCCTTTTGGGCCCCGCCCGCGCGCGCCGGCCGCGGCCGCCCGACGACCCTTCGCTTGCGCAGAGCGGGAGAAGAGATGTTGTCCCGAATCGCTGACCGTCAGGAGTCAAGTTGATGATGAGGGCAGCCTCTCTGCCCCTCTGCCTTGCGTGGAAACGAGGATCGGCTGGCACGGCCAAAACAGCTTTTCCAGGAGCACGCGGACCCGGGCTCCCGGAGGCCACTCCAGGAACGTTTTTCCGCAAGGGCGCACCAAGAGCCCGAGAGCTGACGCGCCCACGCCCCCGGTTTAGACCTCCATATCTAGAAAAATGCAATTGCTTGGGAATGCTGCTGTCTCGGCGTCGGCTCGGCGTCGGCTTCGCATTCATCGAAGAGCTCTTGGTCGGGCGCCGCTGAGGGAGGCAGAAGGGGCAGGGCGCCGCATGTGCCACGGTGTCGCTGCTGCTATTTGCTGCTGCTACTAGTCTAGTAGTCTCACGGCGGCTCGGCGCGGCTGGGCCACGAGCCCCGGGTAACAGAGGAGGCGAGCCAGAGCGCACAAACCGTGACAACTCTTCCAACCATCCTGGCGGCGCGACGCACGAGTGAATCGTCGCCTTCCCCTGGTTCCTGAGCGCCGTCAAGCTCGCGGATCTCATCGGCCAACTCCGCATCGCTATGATGAGTTTGGTCTCGTCGGCCTTTCTAAGCATTTCTCCACTCGCAGCTGCGGGGCGTCCGCCTCCAGATCCCCGCGAAAGACGGTGCCCACGTCGTCCACTTTGCCGCTCGCGCTGGCGACGTCTGGAACTCGCCCTTCGACTTGCCGCCGACGTCGCACTGAGCCAGAGCCTCTACGAAAGACGTGACCAGACCTGCCGTGGACCCCAGCAGCTTGAGCGCCTCCTTCGCGCCGCCCTCCGTCTTGCGCGGCGTCTCCACCCCGTTGGGGAATTAATCCACCTCGTGAATGATGATGATGATGATGGCGAAAGAGCGCCAGTGGATCACCTCGCAATTTAAAATCGGGAGGGGGCGGCTCCCAGAACCCCCCCCCTTTTCAGGGGGGGGGGGGGGGACATTTTCGGACCCCCCCCCTTGGCGCTGGAGACGGGGGGGGGAGTTCGGACCCCCCCCCCCCCCTCCCCCCTTTGGCCAGGCAAAGGAGGGTTAGGGCTTCGGGGCTTGGATTCGAGCTACGGGTGCGGGGTTAAGGATTAGGGTCAGGGTTAGGGGTTGGGGTAATGAAGTCACCCCCATCCCCGCCCGCTTAAGGGGTTAGAGTTAGTTCTTAGGGTCAGGGATCCGGGTTCGGGTTAGGGGTTAGGGTTGAGCGTAAGGGGTAGGTTTCGGGTGCAGGGTAGGGTTTAGGGCGAGGGTGAGGATATCCAGGGTTAGGGGTTAGGGTTGAGGTCAAGCTAGCCAGCTCGAGCGAGTCAAACATGGCATGCCCATTCCCACCCGCCCTCCCACAACATAAGGAACAGTGATGGCACAACTGGGGGTTGCGCGGGCATTTCATTGCGATTGGAGGATACCCCAGGACACCGCATTGACGTCCGCGCGGGATGTGCGCCGCGCCCCATTCCCGCCACGAATCTCACAACGTCGACGATAAGACTGGCCATGTTGAAAGGAACAACGGACACGTTCCGCCCTCCCACAACATATGAATCAATGCTGGCGCAACTGGGTGCTGGCGCGTAGTGGTAGTAGTAGTAG